TCTATATATATATATATATATATATATATATATATATATATATATATATATATATATATATATATATATTATATATATATATATATATATATATATATATATATATATATATATATATATATATATATATATATTACAAGTAGAAAAAAATTAAGATTATTTTAAAAAGTTCCATGAATTTTCCATGACTTTCAATGAAAATTTAAGAATTTTTCTAAATATTTAACTCTAGTGATTTATCATAAAAGTTTACTAAGAGTCATGGAAATGTCATGAAAAAGTCATGGAATTTCATTTTTAAATTTAAGTGGTCACCCTGATATATATATATATATATATATATATATATATATATATATATATATATATATATATATATATATATATATATATATATATATATATATATATATTTATATATATATATATATATATATATATATGTATATATATATATATATATATATGTATATATATATATATATATATATATATATATATATATATGTATATATATATATATATATATATATATATATATATTTATATATATATATATATATATTTATATATATATATATATATATATATATATATATATATATATATATATATATATGTATATATATATATATATGTATATATATATATATATATATATATATATATATATATATATATATATATATATATATATATATATATATATATATATATATATACACATTGTGACCAGCCAAGTAGTACATAAGTTTATCAGGGTAGACATATGTTAGTTATGTTCAATGCGCAAATGAGGGGGGTGGTTAGGGAGTGAGACAGCCCCTCATCAATGAGTTTTACTTTCAGCAAAGTTTTTTTTTTTGTCAACAAAAAATTTAATAGCAATCATCCACCACCCCCCACCTTCACGTGACAAATTGGATATTCTGCACTTGTGATATTCTCTCATATTTAAAATCATATTGTGCATAGTTTTACATTTTAGTCAAAATTATGCCAGTAAAATGTTCAGAAATTACTAATAAATGTCTGTATCCTTACTTTGCTTCAATCTTCTTCTGTCCAGGTTTCATGCTCCTTGGCCCGCTTATGTTGCTGTGTTTTGATTTGAATTTTCAAGTTCTTGAAGAGTCTGTTTAGAAACAAAGTTAGAGCAGATTGGATACCATTCCAACACACTAACTTCAAAACTGATTGAAAAGCCCGGACCCAGTTACAAATGTCTTTCCGTCTGATGTTGCCCTTTTTAGGGACTAATCACTTTAGAAGTTATTTATGATCTTAAAATCAAAGAAAAAGTGTTAAATTCACGAAATGCATTTTACTTTGAAAATTCAAAAAATAATTAGAAAGACAACTTTGTGTCTAAAATTAAAATTTTTTAGAAATTTTAATTGTAGAAATCCATAATAATTTTAGTAGTACTGTATAGGGTAGAACCCTAATAAATGAGAACCCTAATAAATAAGTTTTTGTGAACTGCTCTTTTTAAGTTGATAAAGTTTATTTATACATTTAAAGTTTGATAACCATTAACTCTTACACTATGATGTATTAAAACAAAAAAAATCAGTTCTGCATATGCCTATTGTTAAAAAAAAGCAATTTATTGGGCCAGGGCATATATCCCATTTATTGAGAACTACTCATTGAATGGGACAAAAAAATTAATAACTGGGGCATATATAAAAGATTGAAAAATGAAAAGAGGTCAGCATTAAGTTTCAGTTATTAGGGATGCCAAAAAGGCATCTCCTATTTCGTACATGTATACAGTATACATGTACGAAATAGGAGCACTATTAAAACTGTTATTTTATGAAAGTATACATATGTTTTTTTTTTTTGTTTTTTTGATCATCTTCACTTCCAACAAGGCTGCAAGCAACCACTATAAGAGTTGGAAGTTACTGGAAGAGAAAAGACTAAATCAGTAGAGCAAGATAACGGTTGACTGATGACTTAAAAGATTGCAAATTATATGAATCAGGAAAGCAAGATGAAGGAAGCGAATTCCAAAGAACTGATGTTCGAGGAAAAAAACTAGAAGAATAAGAGTTTTTGAAGCACTTAGGAACAGTCACAGAAAAAGGATGAGACTTAATTGAATGGCGAGTAACACGAGAATGAATTTTAGTAGATGGCACAAGGGACGCTAGCTCTTTAGAGCAGTGCCCATTATAGTATTTGTAGAAAAGAGAAAGAGAAGCAACATTACGACGATGTGACAAAGGTTGGAGATTGGCTGCCAGAGCAGGTCCAACTATGTTTACAATTCGTTTTTGCACCTTGTCTAAAAGAGAAAGAGCATCATTAGAAGATCCGCCCCAGATGTGGCAACAGTATTCCATACAGGGACGGATTTGAGATTTATAGAGATAGAGAATAGAATCTGGAGTAAGAAAGTGTCGAGCTCGATAAAGAGATGCAACCTTAGCAGATGCTAATTTTGCAATGGATTTGATATACGGTTTAAAAGAAAGATCAGAAGTAAGAGTTAATCCTAAAAGATGAATGGTAGATGACTCATCTAGTACATTACCATTCATAAATATAGGAAGATCTAAATTATTACAATAACGATTGGCTGAATAAAATTGAGTTTTATCTGAATTAAAGTTCACCAGCCACTGAGAGCCCCATGCTGTAGCAGAAGTGAGATCCTTTTCAAGCTCAGATACCCCCTCCAAGCAATCAGAGAGTGTAGGCTTCTTATCATGACAAGAGTAAATGGTAGGGTCGTCAGCGAATAATGCCACCTTAGATGTGAGAATATCTGGAAGATCGTTAATGTAAATTAAAAAGAGTATAGGGCCAAGGATTGAACCTTGAGGAACCCCTGAAGTTACAGGATGTGAAGAAGAGTGTTGTCCATCGAGGACAACTTTTATACTACGATTGGAAAGAATGGACTCAATAATCTTAAAGACGTTACCAGCTACACCATAAGAAGAAAGCTTATGGAGAAGACCAGCATGCCAAACTTTATCAAAAGCTTTAGAAATGTCAAGTGTAATAGCCTTAACCTCTCCACCTCTATCTAATGCACGGTAAAACCTATCGGTTATTACTGTTAGCACATCAGCTGTAGAACGAGAAGACCGAAATCCATATTGATGATCAGAAAGTAAGTTATTTGATTCAAGATGAGAGATTAAGTGTTTGTTGATAAAAGATTCAAAAACCTTGCTTATGACAGGAAGAAGACTAATGGGACGGTAGTTAGATGAATCAGATCGCTCTCCGGAATTTTTGAAAATAGGGATAACAGATGCTGCTTTCCAGCATGATGGAAAACAAGACTCTGATAAGCACTTGTTAAATAGTTTAGAAAGTATGGATGAAAGCTCCGGAGAACACCTCTGCAAGACTACAACAGGAATGTTGTCAGGACCACAAGCTGTTGAAGAGTCTGAGCAGGAAATTACTTTAGATACAGAAGCTGAAGTGATGCGAATGTCAAGCAAGGGATCAACCTGTTTGACAGCTATGTCAGGTAAAATGCAACTAGTGGAATCAAGAGATGATATTGATGAAAAGTTCTTAGCAAACAATTCAGCTTTGTCTTTAGGTGAGGTGACAAAGTCTGAACCATACAAGAGAGAAGGAATAACAGATTTGCCCTTGTTATTGATACTGTTAAAGATTCTCCAGAAGTCTCGAGAGCCTAATTTTTGTGATGAGATACGAGATTTAATGACCTGGCAATAGCGAGCTTTGGCGTCAGACAAAACCTTTTTACAATGGTTTCTGGCGATAGTGAACAGATGTCTGTTTTCCGGAGAATTGTTTTGCTGATAGATATGGAAGTAGTGGTTTCGATTAGAAATTGCTGCAGCGCAATGTGAGGAAAACCAAGAAGAAGAGTGAGGCTTGACCTGGAATCGTCGAGAGGGAATAAAAGATTCCATGCCAGCCTGAATCCACGAAGTTATGTAAGAAGCACATTTGTCAGCAGGAAGACGAAAGATTTCTACACAAGGGCCATCACGAAGAAAATCACGGAAAGAGTCCCAGTCAGCTTCAAGGTCGTTGTATGTGGTATGATGATAGGGGGATTCTGATGAAGTAGAAGAATTTGATAATAGTTTTAGAGAGATCAAACCGTGATCAGAAGTACCTAAGGGTGAATGTGGAAAAATTGAGCACTGACTAGGATCCAAAACAAGACATAAGTCGAGTAGAGAAGGTAAATGATTAGGGTTGTCTGGAAAACGAGTTGGAAAGTTGACTATTTGAGTTAGAGATTGAGAAAGGCAAAAGTTGAGGGCCTTAACGCCAGCAGAGTCACTGACACTAGAGCCAAGCCAATCGGTGTGATGGGCATTAAAGTCACCAACAACGACGATATTGGCCGATGGATAAAGAGAGAGGGCTTGGTCAATTTGATCAGAAATAACATCAAGAATAGTGCAATCTTGGGATGAAGGAGAGCGATATAGAACAAAGAGAAAGGCGATAGAGTGAAGTTGTGCTAAACGAAAGCACATAAATGAATAGTCTGTAGATTCAAACCTAGTTTCACGACAAATGGGTGAGTTCTTACGAATGTAGATGCCCAGGCCAAGCATGTGATTATTGGAGTCTTTACGAATTAAAGGAAGATAACCATCAACACTAAGATCACAAAATGGGACAGCCGAACTCAAATTAGTCTCACAAAGAGCAAGTAGGTCTGGTGAACTTTGCAAGAGATAAGACTCAACAGAAGAAAAGTTACTTCGAAGACCACGAATATTAGTAAATGATAGGTTTAGAGAACTTGGTGATGACGATGGTTTTTTGTGTTTTTTAGTTTTAGGTACTTTAGTCATTTTAAATTTATAAAGAACTTGACTCAAGTATAGATAGTACTCAGTACACTTTTTAACAACTAAGCAATAGCCTCATTACTATTAATAAACCCTAAGCCGTAACAAAGGGCTCCAAATGTGGCCTCTGCAATGCATACCAAAAGTACAAACAGGGACACCATCCATGCGCAACATGGCACTGTTAGTACTCTGATATTTTTCGGCTGTTGATGGAATCAGCCTCTCTGAGAGCTACCACAGAGTTCGGGAAACCTGACTACCAGCCGGCCTCAGAACCATAAAACTGAGTTTTAGAGCTGTACCCTCATTAGGAGATAATAGAATGAGTTGCCCAGTCATAAAAATAGAGACACAAGCAATACACACGCATTGAGTCAAGAAGATCCAGCGTTCAACATCCTAAACTGGAAACAATGTATTAAAAGTACATCTGCGCCAGCCTAATAGATGAGGAAGGGGTGCGAGGCTGGTCAACAGATAGAATCTGTTTACCCCTTAAATATGTCCTCATATTAACAAATTTGACAAGTTTTTACTTTAAAAATCAATATTATAAACAATAATTTTCATTTAAAATAGAATAAATTGATTTTTTAAGTAAAACAAAATAGTGTTGTGTAAAAGTTTGGGCAAAATTCAATCAATAGAAGTTAATTATTAGCTAATTAAGTATCTAATTTACTTTAAAAAACTCATCAACGAAACAACTTATTAGACATGAAAAATTAAATCTTATTCATGTTCAACCAACATACAGAAAACAACACTTATTGCTTTTTGCAAAATACATGTAAGAATAATTATGATATTAAAGGAAATGTAAAAAAAAAATGAAAGTCAACTTCACATAACTCACACTCATAATAACACTTACTGCTGTTTTATTACAATTACCACATATCCATCATTGACATGTAAGACACTAAATCCAACCATTCTCAAAAACATTTTTCAGTTGCATTTGCATATTTTGCAAATACTTTGTTGTTGTTAATAACACAAAAGAAAAACTGACCCCTCTGAAGTCAGTTTTTCTTTTGTGTTATTTTTATCAGTTTTGATTTTTTTTCCTCTCATTTACTGTTTTTTCTGAAGTTTTAGTTAATATTGTACTTTGACCCTGTTGTCTTTTTTGGATAGGGTATTGATAAATGGTTTCCTGACTAATTAATTTCATTGATAATTCTGATGAATCTGCTTGATTGTTTTTCATATGAATGTTGATTATCTAGTTGTTGAATTTCTAATTGCTTGACTGAATGAAGTTTGTCACCTCATTCAGTCAAGAATTAAAAACGTGTTTTGAGTTGTTCAAGTTTAAAATCAGATTGCAGTTTTGAAAAAGCTGTTGCAATAAAAATGCAATTCAACATTAAAACGGATTCAATTCTTGCAATATTCATCGAATTTGCAATGAATAATGGTTTAAATCTTTATTATATTATTTACAGGTGTGTTATTTGTTGCATGTGCTACATCTTTATTGATTTCTTATTTGTTTTAAAGATAAAAAAAAACTGACAAGATGATATGAAAGCACTTTCCCTAAATATTTTTTGAGTGGATAGATTCCACATTTAAGAAACACACTGCAAATATTTTATATAGTGAATGACATATTATAGCTGAGACAAATTTTAAATATTCCACATCTTTCCTGGATTAGAAGCCAACCATTCATTCTGAGATATCTAAAATAAGGTTTAAAAGACTTAAACTCTAGAACATCTGTTATTGGCTGCAATCTATGACTTCAATGTAGCTGAAATGTTAATAAAATTAAAAAATTCTTCTTTGTAAATCTTATTATTTCAAATGAAATGTGGCTGTCATGGTTGTCTATTAATCACTGGATAATTAACAGATGGCTTAGCATAGGATACAAAGTGCTTTATTGCAACTAAAAAGTTGTCAAATGTCATCCAGCTACTTTTGTTACACAACCCTAAGTGTAAGTAACCCATGAATCAGGTATATTTTTGTAATTCAGTACACTATACTTGTAAACTAACTGCCTAGTAGGTATTTCAATTAAAAAGTAAAATTAATAAAGACATTTGCAAATATTCTACAATTTCTTTCATCAGAAGCATGAAAAAGGTTTTGATCAGTATGAAAGCATGAAGTTTTTTATCAGAAAAGATTTTCATCAGACGCATGAAAAAGTTTTCTAGCAGCTTTAGATATTTTACATAGAAAATTTGTCTTATATGATCAAAATATGTACACATTTGTGTGTGTACACATTTGTGTGTACACATTTGTGTGTGTATAAATACAATTACAAACACAAAACTTAATACCAAAAATAAACCAATTTATTAAATATATATATGTATCTAAATATAACAAGTTTTACCTAAAGCAATGATTTATTTATTATAAAGCAAATTTATTTATAACCGCACTATTAGAACTAGAATTGACTATTTAATAAATAAAAAATATGTGTGACCATAACTAAATTGTCAAAATATCTTTTTTGCTTTTTTCACAACAGTTTAGTTGAACAAGTCCATTCAATAATTATTTTATCCCATTCAATAAGCTTTCTGCTTTATTTTCAAATAAAGGGCCAGACTAAAAACAGCATTACCTAAATGTAAATGCTTTAAAATTTTTGAAGCTAGAGACTACTATTTAAAAATGGAGTATAATTTTTCTTAGTAATTGCTGCAAAATCAGAAAAACAAAATTATTTTTTAAAATTAATTTTTGTTTTTCAAAACACAATATTATCTAATGCCATTACACTTAGACCATAATAATAGGAACATAATAACCATAATAATAGGAATAATGATTCGGTCAGTTGGATGGTTGTGTTTAAAACTTCTTACCACAGGAGTTTGAGTATCCATCTATAGATGCTTGTATGCAAATTTGATTTTGTCTCACTCAATAATTGTTCCATTCTTTACAGGGTTGGCATTAAAAAACCCGCCCAAAAAAACCCGCCCAATAAAACCCGGGGAAATCTGGGTTTTATTGGGTTTTTTTAAGATATTTAATAAGTTTATGAACTATTTTAACTAACTTTAACATTATAACTATAATATTATTAACTAAAATAATTATTAACTATTATTATTAATCAAATTATTATTAACTATTATAACTAACAATAACAGCTATCAGAGCAGGTTTACTAATATTTGAATCATTATTTGGAAATACATTATTACAATTTTTATGCAAATATTTTTATCGATTGAGATTTTTTAATCTTTTATGTTATTCACCTCCTAAGGTGAATGAGTAGTAGTGGCCAGAGAAGCCCACTACAGTTGAGAAGGCTACGTTATTATGGTTTCAACTCTCTCTCTCAACTCCTAAACTCCTAAACACAAATCTTTATAAACAAGGCCTTTTTGTGCAGAAACAAGTTTGTTCATTTGAATTTCAATTTCAAAGTTTAATTGAAACTTCAGTTACTACCTCCCATTCTCTAGCCTTCTTTTTCCCATTTCTCATTGACATTTTTAATTATATAGATTAATACTTTAAATTTAAAATAAATCAATACATATAGATTTAATGTGAAAAATTTTTTTTCTTACAGTTTTAAATTATAATTAAAAATCTTTTTCAAAATAATTTGAAAAATTCTTGTTATAAATTATTAAATAACAATATATAAAATATATTTTAAATAAAGTTAAAGTAGAAAATGAAACTAATTTTCAATATCATTACACAAAAAAACAAAAAATTTTTTTAGAGACGAAATAAAAATAAAACCCAAAAAAACCCAAATTTACCCAATAAAACCCAAAATTACCCAAAAAAACCCACTGGGCTGGGTTTTTTTAAAAAAACCCGGGTTTTTGCCAATCCTGATTCTTTATGATTCTTCCCCATATATGTTCATATAAGAATATATTTGTCCAGTTCGTAAAAGTAAAACATTTTTTGTGATGGCTATGATGATGATGATGATGATGATGATGATGATAATGATGCTGATGATGATGATGATGATGATGATGATGATGATGATTATGATCATGATGATGATGATGATGATGATGATGATGATGATGATGATGATGATGATGATGATGATGATGATGATGATGATGATGATGATGATGATGATGATGATGATGATGATGATGATGATGATGATGATGATGATGATGATGATGATGATGATGATGATGATGATGATGATGATGATGATGATGATGATGATGATGGTGATGATGGTGATGATGATGATGATGTTTTTTCTATTTTAGTTGGTTCTTTAAAAAAAAATATTATATTATTTTTCTGTTTTAATAGGTTTGCTAAACATATCTTGCACCATTGGCTTAAATGCAAATACAGTCTATAGATACTTTATTACAAAAGCTAGTAATTTTGGTCTTGCAAAACTGGAAATGAGCCCTACTAGAGATGTTTTTGATCCCAAAGACTATTTATTGTTTTACACATATACCACAGAGAAGCAACCAGTACAATTTGTAGAGGGATGGAGAACACGACGTGATACCACAGATTTTGACGGATTTGTTGCTGTTCATTTTTGTGTGGATAGTAATAATGGCATGCTTAATATTCCATTTTATTTGATTCTTGTAAATAAAAAAGAATTTTATCCACGGCCTCACTTACTAACAAGTGTAAGTTCTGCTCTAAGAGGAAGACATAAAGCAAATTCAGGAATGGATTCAGTTGTGTTTTATGAAAATGTTGAAAATGGTAATATATTTATATTAACATACTCTATGAATCAAGTTTTTTTGTTGTTGTTGTTGTTGTTTTTTTGTTATTATTCACCTCCCAAAGGCCAAGAAGGCCACTAAAGTTGAGGAGGCTACTTTTATTGTGGTTACAACCCTCTCTCAACTCTTTAACTGCAAAACATGAACCTTAACAAACTAAACTGCTGTGAAGAGAAACAAATGGAATACAGTACTACTTGGGAAATGGTGGGGATCAAACTTGGAACTTCTTGTTTATGATGCAAGCACTCTACCACTACACCACTATTGCATTATTGCAAACTGCAAGTGATCATAGTAATTGATGGTAATTGTTGAAGCTCATTTTATGTGTTTAATATCAGATATGTTCTCTAATATCAGATATGTTTTAGATATTTTTTTACTTTAAAATATATATATATATGTATATATATATATATACATATATATATATATATATATATATATATATATATATATATATATATATATATATATATATATATATATATATATATATATATATATATATATATATATATATATATATATATATATATATATATATATATATATATATATATATATATATATATATGTACCAATGATCTTATCAAAATTTCAAAACAATACATGTATCATAATACATTATACTGTAACAATAATGCATAAAATAAAATAAAAAACACAAAACAGTATAAACTTTTCATAAACATTTTGAATATAATAAAATTTATGATAAATATTAGAACTTTTATTATTGTTTTTTTCCAAATGCTTTTTTTTTTTTTTAAATTAAGCTTTTTAATTTCAATTTTAAATACTATCCAAAACATTTGAAATCAGATTTAGGTTTTTCTGGATACTAAAACAAAATGAAATTTTCTAATCAGTATTTTAAAACAGTTCTTGGAATTTTATTTTTTAACAGCAGCTCTTGTGGACCAGAACAGATTTTAAAAAAAAAAGAAACACACCTTTGATATTGTCCAAGCTCTTGATGTTGTAAAGTTAAATATTATGACACTGAAAAAAAAAAGAGATTGTGATATGCTATACTAACAATAGCCAATACTTACATTGGTCAAAAATTGTTTACTCTTGTCTCAGAAAAATTTAATTCAACTACTTAAACAGCAAGTGAAACATATGTGCATTTTTTTACAAAAGAATGAAAACTAATAACCTATTTTTAATACCCTAATGAAAACTAACAATCTACTTCTAATAGCCTAATGAAAACTAATAACCTATTTCTAATAATCTGATGAAAACTAATAATCTAGACCTAATAACCTGATGAAAACTTAATTAAAAGTAAAATCAGCATCTGAATTTAAATTCATTTGTGAAATCAATAAGAAAAAAAGTGGAACCAATAAGAAAAAAAAAAAAAGCTGAAGAATTTGCAGAAATTCATTTGATACTTCAACAACAGGATGAACTAAATAGCTAACTTGTTATCACTTCAAAAAGCTTTGTATTAAATAGAAAATAGTAGTAATTGAAAACACTGGAAAAAAGACAATGCTGTTCTAAATCTTGTCCCATCTTTTATAGAAAATTTTATAGAAAAGAATCCAGCTAAAAGAATCTTCTATGGAAATAATACTTTGTGCTGGTTTGTTTGTTATTAAGTTACATTAAGTGGTAACTACTCCTTTTTGTGTTTAAGTTGACCAATTTTCATTTTAATTTGGCATTTTTTCATTTTAATTTAGCAATTTTCACTATAATTTGTAAAGTGAAAACGCCAAATTAAAATGAAAAAATGCCAAATTAAAGCGAAAATTGGGCAACTTAAATGCAAAAAGATGTAGGTGAAGATGTAGGTGTTGTAACAAACTTAGTAACAAACAGATGTACATCTGTTGTTACTAAGTTATGAACTAGTTCAAAAGATGGCACTATTAATAATTTATGCTTTTCAGGATGAAAAAAAAAAAGAAATAAAATCATGATTAGCAATTTACTTGTTTAAAATTATAAAAAATTGTTTTTAAAAATTAATGTCCTGTCCTCTAAAACATAACCAACGAAACTTTTAATTGTCCTCTAAAAAACTAACAAAACTTTTAACTGTCCTCTAAAAAACCAACGAAATAAAAAAAAATTTGAACTTTAATTACTGAATTTGTTTTTATAAAAAAAGTTTTTCTATAAAAAAAAGCTTCTTAAATGAGTGATCTGAGTGAATGTGGCAATTACTTATTAATTAGGATCGAAACATTACTTTTTAGTTATATGTACCTTTAAATTGCCTGATGGCAATTTAAAGGTACATATAACTAAAAAGTAATGTTTCGATCCTAATACACAAGAATGGTCAAGCATGATGGCAGAAAAAGGGCAATGGTTTGGGGTTGGAGTTGGACCATTGAATAAATGATGTTAGATTGATTTGATTATTTTTATATTCTTGAGGAAAAGACCTCATGCTAATAGTAACCTCATGCTAATAGTATTCCTCTTCTATGGACGTTTCAACATGCAACATCTCAAACCACACCTCTAAACTTATTAAACTGTGTTTTGCGACAAATCAAATTGAAGTAATGAAGCGGCCAGATCAATTGTCTGATCTCAAACTGATTTGAAAACTTTCATGTAATCATATTATTTTCAAATCTTTTTCTTTTATGTAATCTTAACAATTTAGTTCCTTTTTTTTTTTTTTTTTTTTTTTTTTGCATTTAGAAAAAATGCTTTATTTAGTAATTAAAGTTGAAAAAAATTTTTGTTTGGTTTTTAGAGGACAGTGTAAGATTGGTTTCTTATATTTTAGAGGACAGTGTAAGATTGGTTTCTTATATTTTAGAGGACAGTGTAAGATTGGTTTCTTATATTTTAGAGGACAGTGTAAGATTGGTTTCTTATATTTTAGAGGACAGTGTAAGATTGGTTTCTTATATTTTAGAGAACAGTGTAAGATTGGTTTAACATGACATTAGAATGTTAAACCAAAATTCTTGACTGAAATAAATCAAAATTAACAAAAACAGAGAAGGGTGGTTTAAAGTGCATATGAAAAATAGTGGAAAAAGATAAAATTAGCTGAGCCAATTATGTTTTATGAAGATGCATTTTCTCTACTAAAAGACATCATTTCCATAATATTTGGTAATACACAGATAGTGCCATGAATATTTGTGTAAACTAACTTTTTATCGCAATGTTGTTCTCAAAATATTGCAAGATCTGCAGCCAAAAATAAAAAGACAAAGTCTTCTTTGACAACTGGCTTACATTTGCTGATCTGGATGATAATTAGCAAAAAAGAAATTATTACGTGTAGTAATAATCAAACTATCAGTTTTATTAAATTGTTGCTATCAATATTGTCATAAGTGATACAGCCCTATTTACTCCAGAAAATATTAAGTTTGACTTTGTTAAAAATTGTGAGAACATTTTAAATCTGTCCACCCAGGAGATGCGTTTAAGAATGTTTTTTGTGCCAAAAAAAGCTTGATTTGAGAAAGCTGGCACTTTACCCAAAATAGGTTTTACTAACAGGAAATCCTCCAACATTTTCCAGCAAGTCATTAATGATTAATGAATTGAGTTCTTCGTCACTTCCATTTAGCATGCAACTAGATGAGAGAACAGATATATAACAGTGTAGCTAGCTCTTAGTGTTTGTATGTTATGTACAACTATAAATACAAAGTAAGTTTCCGTTTTTGTAACTCTTGTTCTATACAGAAGTTGGATGATTCAAGAGGACATAAGATCCAAGAGTTTTAAAGGTTCAAGATTCAAGAGTTTTATACCATTATGCAATTGCAAAATAAACACTTTTCCCACTATGTAATCTCCCTGTTATTTCTATTTGCTACCTTTGTGATTCAGGGTTCTCAGCATTAGTCTCAATAAAAACTAGATCAAATCAAGACAAACAAAACAAAACAAAATCAACTAGACATTAAAGATAATATGAGTTTTATGTCTTCTAATAACAATTTCTCGAATATAGAAAAGAAACAACCATCAAACAACTGTCATGCCCTAACTTTTACTTGATACTAATAAATTTTACTTGATACTTATTAATTTTACTTGATATTAATTAATTTTACTTGATACTAATAAATTTTATTTGATACTAATAAATTTTACCTGATACTAATAATTTTTACTTGATACTAATAAATGTTTTTTTTTCTTTCCCTATACATTTACAGATAAAATTTTGAAAGTGGTTTCCGTGACTACAAAAGTTATGAACCACTGCTATAAATATATGAATTTTTACAATGTTCTTATCACATTTTTACTTAAAGGCTTTCTTGAACTTTGAACTATTTTAACTAAATCTTTAACAACAACAAACACTAGAACATTGTACTGTAAACAAATTACTAGAACATATTACTGGAAACAAATTACTGAAAGATGTTAATGGAAAAAGGTACTGGAAATGAGTATCATATTTACCAAATATTATAAATAAATCTTCAGTACTTTACATGTATGCTAATCTTTACTAACATTGAGAAGTGTTTTTTTGATAATATTTTTGATAATCTGTTTCTATCTTTTACAACAGTAAATTTTGTAAAATAACTATTGTCAGGACTTCAATTGTAACATGTATCACATAAAGAATTTCTTCAAAAACAATGTGCAAGATTGTTTAATTATGATTAGTGTTGTTGTTTGTTGAATTGAAAATATATTTTAAAAACCCAATGGTGGATCCTTATTATTTTTTGAACTTTAAATTGATGTATTTTTGGATCTCTTATTGTCTGAGCTCCCAAAGAATGCAAATAAGAATTTGATCATTGATTTTTTATAGATCTATATTGATGAAACACCAAGTAAAATAAAATAAAAATTTGATAATTGATTTTCTACTAAGTTATTATTGCACTGTTCTTTTAAGAACATTGAACACTCTAATTTGCGGAATACATTTAAAATTATTTGTAAATACACACACATGTACATGCGCACACACATACAGGTACAGACACGCACGCACAAGGCTACCTCATACCCCCAATTGGGGGAGGGGGCTCAGATCCACTAGCTACTGAGCTAGAATATATTGTACATATATTATTATATTACAGTAGTTTATAACGAGTTTTGCATAATTTTATGTGTAATGTTTATCATGAAATTATATTTTTTAATTTCTAGTAAAACAAAGAAGTCGTGTACGGTTTTGCACAGAAGCACCAGATAACACAGCCCAACAAATATCAAATGAGATATTAAAGTATACTCCATCATGGATACATAATTCATTGGATAGTGATAAAGAGCAGCTTATGGAGATAAATTTATCTGATATAAATTCAAGCACGAAGAGTAGTGTTCAGACATCTGCTCGATCTTCTTTATCAAATATCTCTTACGATAGTCGGTGCTCAGATTCAACTGACTCTGATATTTCCATTCCAGAGTCATTTTGTAAGACTACATCATCAACTTTAGAAACATTTTTAAGAAATGAAAGTAAATTTGTTCAGCTTGAGCGAAGTAGGGTTTTAGAGAAATTACATGAAAAATTTGATGACGCTTTCAGCCATTGTTGGCGAGATTTGTGTTGGCATGAAATCCTTGCTAATGAAAAAACACTTGATGAAGAAACTATGCAGAGAAAGAATAAAAAAAAAAGTAATACAGATGAATCTAGTATCCATGGTAATTTTTTAGCAGTATCTCAATGGAGGTTAAAAAACCTGTTTTATGATGTGTGTGATACATACTTTGTAAGTTGTTTTTTTCATATGTAAATTGAGGCTATATGTTTATTTTTTTCCTAATTATAAAAATAAAAAAAGTTTATGATGTTCAACAAATTGTTGTCATGTCAACAAATTGTTGTTGTAATGTCAATAGTTTGAAATAATATCAGCCAACAAGTTAGTTTGGGAGTATACAAGTTGATTTAAGTATTGTGTCAATCAGTTGTTTGTAAATGTTTTATGAATTTAGAAGGTTATTTGAAAACAGCTTAAATCAGCTTGATAGTTTTTGAAATAAAAATTGTTTTGAAGATTGAAACTTTTATATTGTTTTATTGTTTACTAGATTTTTGTCTATAGTTTTGAGTTTTTTTATAGTCTAAGTTGTATCTATTATATAGTTTTAGTAGATTTGAAGATATATAATATAAAATTATTTTGAGCATGAAAGAGCTCTTTAAATTTATGTGGAAGCAACGATGATTTCTTTTTTAATGTCTTACATTACAATTTAGAATTAATATAAAGCATTTAAAAATTGACATCATAGTGAAATTAATAGTTTATTGTTATAAAAACAAATGTAAACATCAAATAAAATTAAAAAAGTTTTATTTTGTTTATTATTTGTTATTATTTAAAAATTTTTATTGTAGGTTTTAGCTTTTTTCTCCTTTTATTATTATTATTTTTTCTTTTTCTTTCTCCGTCTCTTTTTAGTTTGCACATCATTGCAGACAATAAATGAATTGACAATTTCAGTTTTACACGTTAATTTAATTATTTAATAATTATTATTATTATTATTGCTGTTGAGACTTAACGCCATGTTAAATCTGTGACAGACTTTAATAATAATAATTTTATGATTAAAAATATAAACAAATAATTGTTATTTATGTTGTTTCTAGAAGTTTAGTTAGTAGTCGACATAATATAAGATAATTTGTCTATTTTGCTCTTGAAATTGTTCATCGTTAATGCTTCAATGGTTGACTTTGGTAAAATATTCCATGTCTTTACAATTCGGTTTGTGAAGAAATGTTTTCGAATTTGACTTTTGAACTGTTAAGTGCATAAACTGTGTTTAAATTAATTACATCTTATATTAGCAGCTGGTCCAGACAACAATAACGATTCACAAAATTTAGGCGGATTGTGCCATGAGATATCTTCAATATGATGGAAATATTTATAGAATTGAATTAAATCACCACGTTTTCTTCTTTCGGTTAGTGTTGTTAAATTCAGTTTGATTAACCTTTCTTCATATGAAAGGTGTTTAATTTCAGGTATTATCTTAGTTGCACATCTTTGCACATTTTGAAGTATATCAATGTCATTCTTTAATAACGGATTCCATACCTGAACAGCAAATTCTAAATGTGGTCTCACATACGCACAGTATAGTTTCTTGAAAAAGTCACATGTTTTATAATTAAACACTTTGGTAATAATACCTAATTTGCTATTTGCTCTTGAAGCTGCTGCTCTGACTTGCATTGTACACTTTAAATTGTCTGATATCAAAACTCCTAAATCTCTTTCAATGTTTGTTGTTAATATTTTGATCTTAATATCATCATCAGTCATGTAATAATCAAAGTTTTGGTTGTGTATACCAAAGTGCGTTATCTTTTTTCTTATTTTACCAGTTACTAGCGACCAAATAAAATGAGTACATATTTACAAAAATGTTTATGAGTAAGTTATAATCCATTAATTTTAAAAAAAAGCTTAAATTTCAACTCTGAAAAGTTTTTTCAAAATGGTTTTTAATCTTTTTAAATTCACTTTTTTTTTGTATTAGTACTTGTATAAGGATTACACAAAGGAATCTTTATATACACATAGAAAAAAAAGTGAAAAAATTGCAATTAGCGAAAAAAATAACAAAATAAATAAACAGTTAAATTTGTAAAAACAAAATTTAAATTTTACAAAGGTATTTAAGCACACAAGCATTGTTAAAAGTTTATCAATTATGAAGAAACAAACTAATTAAAATGCTTGTGCCAATAAGTAAAGCATTACTCCATCAAATAATCTGAACTTTTGATTGAATTGTTTATTTTAATTAGAATCCAAATAAATATGTAAATTGAATAGTTCAAACTCGTGCTTTTTACAATTCTTTTTAATTGCATTAATTTTTTACTTTTTTACTTTTTAACTATTAAGACTTTGTTTCAACCCTCACACTCCTTGAGCTGAAATATGAAAGTTATATAAAAATTATAAATTATAAAACACGAAAATAATTTGCTGGTCCAAGAAAACCATAAAAGTAGAATATTGAGATTCATTAAAGCGATAAAATCATACTTTTCATGTTCCTATAGTAACGGACTGAATGATACAGAAAATCAACAATAATATCATGGCTATTTCCAGTATTAAAATCAACAATGTTGCATTCTGTATTTATATCAGAACTAATCAAGAATTAAAAAATTTGTTTGTTATAACATATTTGTATTATACATATTATTTGCATCTATGTTAGTATTACTTTCATTCTTTTCGACGTGAAAAATCTACAAGATGTAAACTTTTTGATTAATTATATAATTTCGAAAGCTTTATTTTTCTTTTATCCCTTTCTCAAAGTTTGTCTTAGAAACTTTAGTTATTCCTGGTTTTTTTTTAATCTGATGAGAATAAATCCTAATAACAATGTTTTGTTGCACTTTTATAAACATTTTTTTTTTTTTGCTGAATTGGTATTATGTTTTTTCGATACACATTTTCTTCAGAATTGATATTATGTTTCTTTGCATTTTGTATTGTTAGTCCACATTTCGATCCAAGAAAGCTTTGCGAAAATTTTATTATATCTATTTTCAGAACCGCAACGGTAATCTATTACTTTGTCAAAGTTACCCCATTACCGGATAACTTTGGCCACCGCATTAATTCATAAAATCTTGGATTTTATAAATTTTACTCAATAAATAACGCCAGTTATGCACAACATTTCACATTAAAATAGTAACAAATATTTATTTAATTCCAAAATTTACATTTTATGGCGTATGGAAATTAAAAATTAAAAATTTAGAACTAGAGTTAGAGCAGTTGTTTTAAGAAATTTAGAAGTAAGTTCGTAAAGGGAAATTTCCCTTATAAACTTATTTCCTAAAAAAAATTTTTAGTTCCATGTACAATCTTGCAAAACTATACAGATTTCCCGATTTAGGTCTCATTGAAAGCTTCTATGAAATATTTTTGAAAGATTCTTTTTAGTGTTTGAATATTATTATTACCGTTTGAAATATTTACTATATTTGTGTAATTCTGGTTTATTTAAAACTGTTTAATTTCTAGTTTATTTAAAGTTGTTTATTTTTGTTTTATTTTAATGTAGTTTTTTCAGTTTTACCTTGACGTGTGTTTACCTATCAAATTTGTGAAACCCTCTAGAGTTTAAAATAATATAATTAGCGTGAAATACTATTTTTCCTTTAAAAACTTTTTTTTTTCTGGTTAAAACAGTTCTATAGAGTTTTGGTCTAGGAGGAAATGTTTATTTTAGGACATAGGATATGATGACGTATCCAAAATGTTTGAATTAGTTTCATTTTACAAAATTCGTTCCATTGATAAAAGGTTGTATGACGCATTAAATTTTATCTCGTTAAACAAACCTGGAGTTTTATCGCACCTTTTAAGGTAACTTTTTTTAACGGATTTATTGATAATATCATTTTTATTTGTTCTTCTATTTTGAGTATTTGTTGTAATTTGTTTCAAGTTTGCATTGTACGTGTTTAGTTAATTTAAATTTTATATTGTATATATTTATTTTCATTTGTTATTAGATTAGTAACAACAAAGTACGAAACCCTTTGTCGCAAGTTTGTTTCTCGTGATGAAAACGTATATGTGTGCATCTTAAACCCAGATAATTTAGATATGTTTGTTCTGATTGATGTTAAAAATGGGAACATGGTAAGAGTATTCTTTAAAGTAAGGAAAATTATTTGCTCAAAGATTCTTTTCTTTTCATGTTTTGCAAATGTTTTTATTATAAATGCTTAGAAGTTTAGTGCTACTTATAGTATTTTAAAAGAATGAGTGGACCTATTTTCTAATTTAAATAAGTTGTCTTCCACTTTTCATTACATAAAACCCGATCGGCACATCTAGTTTCTTTTTCGGAAATAAAACCTATATAGGCACGTGTTTTTCACGATTCAGGCGTAAACCAAAAGCACGTGTTTATTACGGGCAGTTTTACTAGAGTTTAACACGTGTTTTTTGAGGTTTTAAAGTCAAATTTAAATGTTGCATGTTTTTATCAGTGGTTTCACATTCCTTACGGAAAGTTATTAAAATATAATACTACGTTTCCATAACGGTGAAACCATTAATACTTCAACTGGTATTTATGGTAAATAGTAATAGTTAATTTCACGGAATAAAAACCATTTAGGATACGTGTTATTCTTTTTGTTTTAGAAGGTTTTAAAAACGCAACAGAAACCAAGCGTAACTATTTTCTGAGTTGTGCCGGCTGGGAAGTCACTCTCAAAATTACTTAAGTTTCCTTTTTTTTTTAGGAAATTTCAGTAGTGTACCGTTTGAAACCTCAATCTAGTCCTTTGGACAACGCAATAGAAGAGAATTTAACAGAGGTTGAGAAAATCTCTCGATCTCACGTTGAAAACGTTATCACTTGTCTTATTAGTAATTTGTTCGAAACTATTGTTTGCAGTTAAAAATACTACGTTGTTAAATTATCTAATTAATTTAAGGCCTTTGAACTTTTCTGCAGTCAAAGTTTTCAATTATGAAATAAAGTTTTCGAGGTCAAACTATTTACGAAATGTTTAATTTTATAAAAAGTAAAATTTTATGTTTTAAATTTAAAACGTGTAAAATAAACGGAATAAAATATTTTTTTAAAGTGAAATAAATGGAATATACTTTTTTTTAATGTTCATAATGTTTTTTAAGTTCACAATGTCTGTATATATATATATATATATATATATATATATATATATATATATATATATATATATATATATATATATATATATATATATATATATATATATACACATATATATATATATATATATATATATATATATATATATATATATATATATATATATATATATATACACACACATATATATATATATATATATATATATATATATATATATATATATATATATATATAAATATAAAAAAATAGGCGCAGGAAAATTTTGTTGCTTAAAGCATATTTAAACTACCATTTAAAAACTGAAGAATGTTATTGAACAAATTTTATTTTATTTGCGAGAAAAATTTCTTCTTTAAACAAATCTTGCATATTGGATGGTATTCTAAAACATAAAACTGTATATACCCAGTGGGCATTTCGACGACGAACAAACGTCGAGCGACGTCGGATCGACGTTGGGTTTACGTTGGAAATGGAAATGTTATTTGACGTCGGATAAACTGACATTGCGCGACGTCGGCATTCCGATGTAAATCCAACGTGTTTTTTGAAAACTAAAAAACGTTGCCTTAGGCAGGAATCGAACCTCGGTCTATTAGATAATATATCCTACGCGCTTACCCCTACACCACAGGTTCATATTAATCAATGAGTTTATATAGTAATTTATACTTGTAGCTATTTGGGAATTATTACTTTGATAAGAAATAATTTTGTTTAAATGTTATATAAATATTAAAACGAATAGTTATATATTATAAAAAATGTATACTCGAAAATGTTAATAGTTAAAAAACTATGCTAGTGCATCATACAAAACCTCATAATGTTTTATCAACCATTATTCAAACTTTTTTCCATTAATAAAAAAACACGCTTAGTTCACATAACTATTGAAGAGCGCAATTGCACACATATTGTTGGGTTTGGATTAAATTTTCATCAGCGATGTCTTATGACGTAGTTCCGACGTCATTTTAAGGACGTTGGATTGACGTCGAAAGACGTCAAAAGACATCGGAGTACGTTAATATTATGACGTTGCCCGACGTCTTTTTATCGACGTTGGATCGATGTCAGTACTGCGACGTTTTTTGGACGTCTTTTATAAGATGTCGGAACAACGTCAAAATACACCGAAACGACGTCAGGGGATGTTGAGATAAAGACATCGCCCGACGTCATTTTACTGACATCGGAACAACGTCGGAATAGGTCTTTTGACATCGCTCATGAAAATCGTACGTAAATTCGACGTCGGATTGACGTCGGGTGCCCACTGGGTAAAGACGCTATCAAACATAATTTAAAAAATATCAATAAAAAACTGTAATACATAAAAAATTAAAGCAGTAAAAAAAACATCTAAGGTAGTATTTAAAATATCCCTTACGAGCTTTGCAAACAGCACATAATTTTTGCATTGATTTTACAAGACTGCTGCAGGTTTCGTTTGGAACTTCTTCAAATGGTATCTAATTCTTGCTTTAGACTATTTATGGATTGTATTTGCACCTTGATTAATTCCTTGTCCATCTAAGCCCAAATAGATACGATTAAACTCAAGCTGGTGATCAAGCTGGCCAGGGAATTAAATTTACTTTATTTTCTTTCATCCATGTTTTTAGTACGAGCTGTGCAGGCAGGCGCCAAATCTTGTTGAAATTGCCACCATTCGTTTCGATCAGTCAGCATGTCCACTGATGGAACCATGCAGTTTTCTAGCGTCTATATATATGTATGTTGGTTGATTCGACCTGAATAAATGATTAAAAACTTAAAATTGAAAGTTAAAATTAAAGCAGCCCCACTACCGTCGCCATTTTGCAACCTCGGTACAACAAAGCGATTACTATACTTTTTCGATTAAATCTTTAACAAGAATTTTACTTTTTCTATTTATTACTTCAAATTTACTTTCATTACCAAAAAATACTTGCTTCCACTCCTCCAAAGACCACCCAGTTGTCTCCTTACACCGCCTAAATCCTGAGATCTCTGGCCGTCACCAAAGGTTTTCTAACAATCACATAGACACCAATAATAATAATATATATATATATATATATATATATATATATATATATATATATATATATATATATATATATATATATATATATATATATATATATATATATATATATATATATATATATATATATATATATATATGCAGTCGGAGGAGAAGGGGGACGTAAAAAACATAGAGGTGAGTACAATGGGAAATGGTTCCTTAATCAGTGATTTTACCGCATACATACTTTATGGATGCCTCCTAAAATTTCTTAACTCCCCCGTGAAGTCTTTCAAGTTTTCTAAACTAGGTGACTTCTACAATCCACAAAACAACGCCACAACAAATGGAATAGTTTCACAAATATTGTCAACATGACGCTAGACATGATTGGCCAGAGAAGCATATTTACACTTTTATGGATTGACAGTCTGTCAATGGTTAAAGGTTAACTTCACCTAAGTGTTTATTATTGCTTAGATCTCAAAATAACATCCTTAACTTTTTTTTTATTACTATCTTTTATCAAAATACCATCTTTTATTCTAAAATACGTATACTCACCAACTAAACCAAAAAAAGAAGTAATATGATGCAACTAAATGCAGTTATATATAAAATAACGCACATGTAAAAATAAGATAACTGCAAAAAAATATAAAAAGTAGAGTATTTAATGCAAAAAAATAAATTTTTGAATAAACCTAAAAAATAAAATATCTTGGAAGATTTACAAACCTAACTTTATAGTAATATCGGTATTTTCAATAGCGTCGTACCTTGTGCTGGGAGATCTACACAAAAGTGGTTACAATGTAGTTACTCTTGTTTGAATACTGAACATTTAACAGCCCATCGGCTAAGTCAAAAGAAATGCTCCCCCTTAATAAAAAGGAGGATTTCCTTTTAACCAGAATTTTAGATGCATGGAACACACTTTCAATTGAAGGTGTAACAACAAAAACAGCTTTCAATTGATGGCAGAGTAGCAATCAAACATAACTGCTGTAATACTATAATAAATACAGTGCAAAACAACACATTCACTGGGCCTGTCTAACACAGCGTAAACTACTACTACTATTACTACAAATCAATGACATATTATATAACTAGATGTCTAACTTCGATCCGAAAAGTGTTGCCCTATTTACTAATGCAAAAAAAAGCGGCTTCACTTTTTGTCCAATAAAATCCCGCAAGTTATACATCTAGTTATTTAGTATATCATTGCTACTAATATGTACTTAATTAACACGTTTATAGTATTATTTTGACAGGAGCGTACCCAGCATTTTTTGATGTTTCAGATAGGACACTTCCACACATTGTGCTAACTTTAAACTTAAGTATGCTCTTACTTATGCCAAATGAGTCTTGCAAAAATTTGGGACGGCGGAGGCCTGGGGTCAATGAAAGCAGGTGATGCTGCTTGATTTTTTGCATAATTGATTACCAAAAATAATGTTATTTATAATCGCTTATCTTAAAATACAAAAAAACAAAAGTAGTTTTTTCAACTTGTTCTGTATATTTTAAAGCTTTGTTTACACTATTTAAAAGCCTAAAATACCCGCTTCCTCAAATTTTGCCCAAAAAAACTAAAGAGAATTTTTGCTAAGGGAGTTGCTATGGGAAAACATAATACAAGCCTTTGAAAAAAGTAAATTTCAAAAAAATTTTATCAAAAATTGTGTAAAAATGTAACGTGTAAATATTTTTTAAGAAATTTCTCACTTTTAACAAAACTTTTATATTTTTGTCAATTTTTTTACTAGATTTTACTAGATAACTACTATAAGAACAAAGCAAAGAACAAAGATAAGAACTTTAATGAAATTTAAAATATTTAAAAATATTTTATTTTAAAAGCTAAAAACAAAGATAAAAATTTTAAAGAGGTTTAAAAAAATTTTATATTAAATATTAAAAAATAACATTTATCTGGATGATGAGACCATCTATTCTTATTGTTACAACATTTTACTTAAACATGGAAACGTAATTTTAAATGAAAGAAGCAGCTTAAACCATTTGCATTTATTTGATTTTAATATTTTATAAAGATATTTTAGTTCATTTTAACATAAATAAAAGTAATTTGTGGCGATAAAAAAATAAATTACAATTGGTGCGCTAATACATCGTTTCACTTAGAGCGCCAAAACGTTTCTTACGTTTAAAAAATTTTTTAACCGCTAAACAGAAAATATTGAAAAAAAAAGTTCAAGAAAAATGCTATAAATTTTTTTTATTTTTGTAAATGTTTTTAAATACAACTATATATAAAATATAAAAAAATTTCAAATTTGTTTAAATTGTATAAATTTCATACAAACAAAATATATAATACCAAACAAAGCTTAAAATTATTAAACCGAAAATCAACGTTTATATTTTACGGTAAACTCAGGCAGTTTACAATTTACATAAATGTATAAGTTAGAGAAAGTTATGAAAAAATTTAATAAATTGTAAAAAATGTACCATTTATTTTTTATTTTCAAAGTCGAAGATTTTACGATTTAAAGATAATGTTTATACCGAATCAAACCAGAAGATGAAATAAGACTATTTAAAAAATTCGAAGAATGTACTTTCGAGTTGAACAACAGAGATTTAGATAACTCATGTACTGTTGTTTCTTGCAGTAATAATTCACCTGTAAATTTCGTTCGGCCTTGTTACTGGTTTTTTTGTTTTCTTCTTTTTGCCTTTGCTTGATTGCGTAGTTTTAATTTTCCTTTCAATTTCAGTTGATGATTCCGCTGATTCAAAATTTATTGGTAATGTAG